GATCCAGGGTTTCCGCGGATCATTTAAAATAATTACAATCCATTATTTTTGGGGGGATTTTTTCATTAATTTCATAAATTTTTATGGGATTTAAGAATCAACATATACTGAACCGATCCGAAAACCATGACCACGAAACCATGAATCGAACCAAACTGTGGATTTTGTGAACCGTTCCACCCCTAATATATATATATATATATACACACACATATGCACATATGCATATATATATATATATATATATGAGAATAATAGGTACTTGTTGATGGCATTAAAATTATTTCTAAAAGCATTAACAGAGCATTAAAAAGCTAGGTTATTCGTTGTGAAAATGGCCATAAATATATCCTAACTTTCATATCCACTAATATGGTGTTAATCATATGTAAGTTTAATCTGTTTTAAATGGTGGGTCAAACACCTATAATGGAGTTCTGCATGTGTTTCTCTACAGAAGGACTGTTATTTTGAACCTGTCTGTAACAGGTAAAGGACATAAAACAGTAGAAGAAACATGGAGTTTAAAGTTTTAATCTCCCCTTTTCCTTTTGATAACTTGTATCTCTGCTTATATAGTTTGTGAGATTAAACATTAATCCTAATGTATTTTCAGCCATTGGGCTCCTTATTGTGTGGAAGCTGGGGACCATGACTGAGTAAGAGACCATAATGCTCCCATATTCTACCTGCTGAGAGCTGAGGTGGAGTGATGGGTGCCAGCGGGCTGGGCTGGGGTTTGGGTCCCTTTAAGTGACTCAGTTTTTGGAGCCAGGAAATGCAGAGACAAAATAGACATGTTGCCCTCTTTCCCTTAAAAAAAAAAAAAAACCCAACAAGTATTACTGAAAGTGTTTGGCAGGTAAAAGAGGTTAAACTGTGTGATGCGGGAACTCATGGGGCTTGAATCCAAGAACCGCGTATTCTTAAATCTTTTTCAAAACAAAATGGGTCTTATAGAACATACTGCAGCCTATTGGGATGAGTGATGCTGTAATTAGCCGGCAATTAGGACAGATAGAGATGTGATTAGTGAGTCAGCGATGCTCTGTGAAATCAGGTGGGAAAAAAAATAAACACATGGGGTGTTGTGATCCCTAACTTTTTTTCACATTTATCCTCATATGCAGCATAGAGTCAGTTTGTGATGAAGGCAAACCAATGAGAAAGCACAACGGAGCAGTGAAATGTGCTCATGTGTTGGAGGGGTGGCTGGAGGTCCGAGGCTACAGTGAAGGCGTGCACGGCGGTTCACACCTGGCCAGGCACCACCGCCCTGGAGAACAGCTTGTTCAGCTGAACCAGCTCGTTGGGTGTGGTGTCAAACTTGAGTGCAATGCTGTTCAACGTGTCCCGCGATTCCACCTGGACCACAAAACAAGAGAAAGGACAGAAACATCACAGAGCTGCTCCTGGTGGAGGCATATCCTAAGAGAGCTGCACAGGTCAGATATGGAACAAACACAGAGGAACCAGCTGAAAAGATGAGACCTTCGATCGACTCTAAACGCCTCGTCTTCTAATAGAATCCAGCATGAATTCACATTAAAGCCATCAGCTGTTGACCCAGAATAAATATATGTTGTTAGCTTCCAGGAATATAAACTGACAACAATGTCTTCTGTTATCTCATCAAAGAAAACAATTTGCACAAGGCCAAAACTGTAACCATACATTTTAATAACCGCCTGAAGGTGTTGGCATGATTCCATAGATCAACATTTTTTACCATAATACGCTACAATACTTCTTGCAAAAAGAAAAGCAGCTTTGCAAAAATCAATCCAGTCCCTTTTAGCATCTTATTTCCTGTACAGATGTAGGATTAAGATCCATTTAAAGTATTTACTTGAGGCTCAGAACCTTATTGGATTCTTATTGGTGCAGAAAAAAATGCAGTTATTGGGTTTCCTAAAGTTGATGAAGCCGACTACCTACCACTTCCTGGTCAGAAACACACCGAGGACATGATAGGATATCCTTTATTGTCACACAGTGGGGGAAACCAGCTGTGTCAGCAGCAAAGCCGTGAGCGGCATTGGGCGGCCCTTGCTGCTCAGCCTATCGCAACCGTGCGAGACAAGCAACCGTTGTCTCCTTGCTCCTTCCCAGCCAGCAAAACAAGCTCCACACTTCACCTCTGGACCAGCTGCAGACAACCACAGCTTTGGTCAGGAAGAGTTAAACTAGGGTAAAAAGACAATAACTGGGACAAATCTCATCCATAGGATAGATGCTGCGGCCATCACAGTTGGTGGGTCTAAAGTGATGTCGCCACGACAACGTAGGTTTGCCATCAGCAGTCTATGAGTAGACACAACATTTGGAGCAAATATGCTTATAGCCTTGTAGGAGACATTAAGTGAGATGATCTTCAGTCATACGGAATATAGTTGCATCTACGTCTTAGACTTTATTCTTGTTTCTGCAAAGTCATAACAAAGTAAAACCTTTAAGTTAAACCTGAACTAAAGTTACTAAATCATTAGTGTAAGTTTGTGGTCCAACAGTTCTATTTTCTTCACTGCCTCCTTTTAAGATGTCCGTCCATCCATCCATCCATC